TTCACATCAATATATTCAGTCGATGTTGTCTGTCACTTTGTAAAATCATAAAAATGTATATCTTATATTCTTTAATATATCTTAAAAAACACCTGTAATGCTTTAAAAAAAAAAAAAATCAAAAAACAACTAGGCTTAGCAAATGTGCCTTACAAAGATACATAAATCAATAAAGTTTCAAGTCAGTAAAATTTCCCAACATTATTTTTCCTGAAATAATCATTCTAAATGCTGACCTGAACCACCTATAAAATAAAGCATAAATAAATGGATTGAATGTTGAATTAGACAGTGCAAGCCAGTTCAGTATTTCTGCCAGAGGGCCAGGCTGGGAAGCTTTACTGAAAGTAAGAACAGTTGTACAGAGGATGGAAGGCAGCCAGCACAACAGAAAAACTCCCATTACAATTGCCAAAGTTTTTGTGGCCTTGTTTTCCATTTTACTAACTACTCCCCCATAATGTTTATTGCTGTGGATGCTGTATGCTTGTCTCTGTGCGACACTAAAAATCTTTAGGTAGATGCATATCATTACAAGCAGTGGTAAATAAAATGTAATTAGAACAATCAGAATTTTTCCCAGCACAACAGTAAGAAAACAATTTTGTTTGCATTCCACCTGATTAAATCCTACCAGACTGATTGCAACCACAGCTGGAACGCCCCAGCTCACCAATATCATCAATACAATAACATGACTGCTGATTCTATTCCTGTATACCAGTGGCTGACACACTGCATAATATCTGTCAATAGAAATGCAGCACAGGTTCAGAATAGAACATATGCTAAGTGTTATATCGAAGCTACCTCTTACTTTGCAGAAAATGTCCTGATGATGCATGCATGAGCTTATTGAGAACTCCATTGTTAGTGGAAAGACCATAGCTCCTACCAGCAGGTCAGCCACAGCCAGAGACAGGATGAGGGCATTGGTAGGAGTGTGAAGCTGTCTGAAGTAAATGATAGAGATTATCACAAGTAGGTTTCCACAAACAGTTACTGCAGATATAGAACCAAGAAAAACATTAAAAAGTAGACATAACGTGGTAGGAGTTTCTGTTGGTAGATAGGTGGCAATCTTATAGCAAGGATTTACGTTAGAAACATAAGTATTGTTAAGAAGAAAATTACTCATATCAAGTTCCATGTTTAGACCAAACTTTTGCTCAGCAGTTCAGAGAATTAAAGAATCTGGAAGAAAGACAAAAAAGATCATGAAAAAGACCTGGGTAGTAAAAATAAAGTCAAAAACGACAATTAACTATACAAAATATTAGTCCTCTCACCTAATCCACAATACATGACAGCGTATCAGCTGAGCCCCGATGTTTGCACAGTGGCTCTTCTCTGACCACTGTGTTGGTGAATTCTGAAGCTTGTTTTCTACCCCCTCACTTCATGAATACAATATTCCCTTGGTATTTCTAATGTGGTAGCCTGCACCCAAAGGATTCCCTAGCAACAAACATTAGCACCGAAGTAGTTGTGCCATTTCTAGTTATGCTCTATAAAGTAGTTATTTTAGACTAAGATATTATTGTTTTAAAACCTAACAAAACAGAAGTTCAATATTTTACATCTAATATAACCCTGCAGAATTATAAAAAAGTATAACATTTCAAAACTCCGAAATATTTATCTATATTTATGATGGAAAGTTGGTGCTAGTCTTCTGACTGGAAGAAAACCACCACTTTTAGATCAATTTATCTGTGTCATGACATCTGGAAAAATGTTACTTGTATAAATTGGGGGTGAATGATCCATTGGGGTCACTAGGGTGTTATAAAAGGGAAAAGTTATAAAATCTATCAATACATATTTATAATAGATTTCATTACCAATCTCAATTTTGCATTTGTGCATGCAACCTCAATTATTTAAACAACAATTCCACCAGATATCCCTCTATCAACAGTAATTAAAAAAAAATAATTTCTCTCATGGAGAAGTAGAAAAAGTATCCCAGAAAAACCAGTCCTCTATAGGTGGTGGGATAGGTGAAAATAATACATACTTTGCCAGGCAGCAATACCATATTTAATGATTTTTAAGAAATCAAATTGTTGCTCCTGGATAACAGAGAAAATGAACTCAGACTTCAGATGTTTGCATCTTCAGATGGGTGTGTTAATGTTGGGTAGACATTTGGAAGTCAGGGGAAATGGGGTGTTACTTGTGTAGTTGTTTCTACTTTTTGACTATGCCTCTGTATGTTTTGAACATGTATTCCTATTTTTTAAGGTGTTTTTTTTTTTGCATCCGTTAATGGAAATAAAGAAAGGCCACTCTAAAAGTCCTTCATAAAACTTCATAAAAAATAAATATGCAATTGTCTGCATATCTGTTGTGAAAATGCATAGAAGAAGTTTATTTTTAGCATATTGTTTGCATAGGAGAGATGAAACCTTCTGCCCCCCTCTGTAAATATGTTTCTTGGCGTCAGATCAATGAAAACATAATTTTCAAACATTCGGAGTTGAAATAATTATTTAAAAAAATATTAAAAGTCATTGTTGTGATGTTCATATAAACACTTTGACAAAATGTGAATAAATGTTTCAAATATGGCAGCATACTGTCAGTATTACTGCATGAAGAGGATTGCCAGTGATCTGCTAAGCATTAGCATAGCCACCCTCTGTACACTTTTTCATCTCTGGTTGCAAATAACAGGTGTACATATGTACATATGTGTGTGATGTCAGATCAATGAAAATAACAGTTTCATACATGCAGATTTTAAATAATAATTAAAAACAATCTTCACATTACCAAGCCATTGTTGTGATCACAGCCATTTTACTAAGGCACATGTCAATTTGAAGTAGGCTAAGCAACGTAGTCCAGAGTCTTTAAAAAAAAAGTTACAGTAAAAGCTGGGCCCATACTGTAGCTATGTCAACGAGATCAAGACTACCCTTAAAAGAAGGCCCAACTCTAACATCTATAAACAAATGTCATAGCCAAATGCATAGGAATCGACTAGATGAAACCACTATGACGAGAAAGTAGAGGAATCATAAAAAAATCATGGGTTGAACTAGCAAATATTGCAGTATCATAGCATGGAGGTAGAAGGAAGTAGAATGATTAAAAGTGGTCTCTGTGTCCTCCAGCAGCCTAAATCTATAGCAACATGAATACAGAAAGTAGTTCAGCATAACCCAACCATTTTGAATGTAGAA